CTTTCTTTGTCCTCTTTCTTTCTTTCATTATTTCTTTTTCTTTCTTTCTTTGTCCTCTTTCTTTCTTTCATTATTTCTTTTTTTTTTTTCTTTCTTTGTCCTTTTCTTTCTTTCATTATTTCTTTTTCTTTCTTTTCTTTGTCCTCTTTCTTTCTTTCATTATTTCTTTTTTCTTTCTTTCTTTTTTTTTTTTTTTCTTTCTTTTTCTTTTTTCTTTCTTTCTTTCTTTCTTTCTTTTTCTTTTCTTTCTTTGTCCTTTTTCTTTCTTTCTTTCTTTCATTATTTCTTTTTCTTTTTTTTTCTTTTTCTTTTTTCTTTCTTTCTTTATTTCTTTGTTTTTTTTTTTTTCTTTCTTTTTCTTTTCTTTCTTTCTTTTATTATTTCTTTTTCATTCTTTCTTTGTCCTCTTTCTTTCTTTCATTATTTCTTTTTCTTTCTTTCTTTGTCCTCTTTCTTTCTTTCATTATTTCTTTTTTCTTTCTTTCTTTGTCCTCTTTCTTTCTTTCATTTTTTCTTTCTTTCTTTGTCCTCTTTCTTTCTTTCATTATTTCTTTTTTCTTTCTTTCTTTGTCCTCTTTCTTTCTTTCATTATTTCTTTTTTCTTTCTTTCTTTGTCCTCTTTCTTTCTTTCATTATTTCTTTTTTTCTTTCTTTCTTTGTCCTCTTTCTTTCTTTCATTATTTCTTTTTTTTTTCTTTCTTTGTCCTCTTTCTTTCTTTCATTATTTATTTTTCTTTCTTTCTTTGTCCTCTTTCTTTCTTTCATTATTTTTTTTTTCTTTCTTTCTTTGTCCTCTTTCTTTCTTTCTTTATTTTCTTTTTTCTTTCTTTCTTTGTCCTTTTCTTTCTTTCATTATTTCTTTTTCTGTTTTTCTTTTTGTCCTTTCTTTCTTTCTTTTTCTTTTTTTTCTTTCTTTTCTTTTTTCTTTCTTTTTTTTCTTTTTCTTTCTTTTTTTCTTTCATTATTTTTTTTTTCTTTTTTTATTTCTTTCTTTTTTCATTATTTCTTTTTCTTTTTTCTTTGTCCTCTTTCTTTCTTTTTTTTATTTTTTTTTCTTTCTTTCTTTGTCCTCTTTCTTTCTTTCATTATTTTTTTTTCTTTCTTTCTTTCTTTTTTTTTCTTTCTTTCTTTTTTTTTCTTTCTTTTTTTTGAATTTTTTTTTTTCATTATTTCTTTTTCTTTTTTTTTGTCCTTTTTCTTTCTTTCATTATTTTTTTTTTCTTTCTTTCTTTGTCCTTTTCTTTCTTTCATTATTTTTTTTTTTTTCTTTCTTTGTCCTTTTTCTTTCTTTCTTTTATTTCTTTTTTTCTTTCTTTCTTTGTCCTCTTTCTTTCTTTTTTCATTATTTTTTTTTTCTTTCTTTCTTTGTCCTCTTTCTTTCTTTCTTTTCTTTCTTTTTTCTTTCTTTCTTTTGTCCTTTTCTTTTCTTTCATTATTTTTTTTTTTCTTTTTTTTTTTCTTTTGTCCTCTTTCTTTCTTTCATTATTTTTTTTTTTTTTCTTTCTTTGTCCTCTTTCTTTCTTTCATTATTTCTTTTTTCTTTCTTTCTTTGTCCTCTTTTTCTTTCATTATTTTTTTTTCTTTCTTTCTTTGTCCTCTTTCTTTCTTTCTTTTTTTTTTTTTTCTTTTCTTTTTCTTTCTTTTTTCTTTATTTTTTTTTTTCTTTCTTTCATTATTTTTTTTCTTTTTCATTATTTCTTTTTCTTTCTTTCTTTTCTTTTTTTTCTTTCATTATTTCTTTTTTCTTTCTTTCTTTGTCCTCTTTCTTTTCTTTCATTATTTTCTTTTTCTTTCTTTCTTTGTCCTTTCTTTCTTTTTTTTTCTTTTTCTTTCTTTCTTTGTTTCTTTCTTTCTTTCATTATTTTTTTTTTTCTTTTTTTTTTTCCTCTTTCTTTTTTCATTTTTCCTTTCTTTTCTTTCTTTCTTTCATTATTTCTTTTTTTCTTTCTTTCTTTGTCCTTTTTCTTTCTTTCATTATTTCTTTTTTCTTTTCTTTCTTTTGTCCTTTCTTTCTTTCTTTTCTTTATTTCTTTTTTTTTTTTTTTTTCTTTTTTTCTTTCTTTTTTCTTTTTTTCATTTTTTTTTTTTTTTCTTTCTTTTGTCCTCTTTCTTTCTTTCATTATTTCTTTTTTCTTTCTTTCTTTTCCTTTTCTTTTCTTTCATTTTTTCTTTTCTTTCTTTTCTTTGTCCTTTTCTTTGTTTTTTTCTTTCTTTTTTTTTTTCTTTCTTTGTTTTTTGATGTTTTTTTTATTTTTTTTCTTTCTTTTCTTTCTTTCTTTCTTTATTTCTTTTTTTTTCTTTCTTTTGTCCTCTTTTTTTCTTTCCTTGATTTTTTTTTCTTTCTTTTTTCTTTTCTTTCTTTCTTTCTTTCTTTTCCTTTTTTTTCTTTTTGAGAATTTTTTTTCTTTCCTTGATATTTCTTTTCTTTCTTTTTCTTTCTTTCTTTTTTCTTTTTTCTTTTTCTTTCTTTTTTGTCCTTTCTTTGTTTTTTTTCATTATT